AGCTAACGTTTTTGGTAAATAACGACTTGTTCGAACATTAAAAATGCAATTCATCATGCCGTTGTGAAAAAATAAAAGACGAAGGAATCAAGTATAAAGGTTTGTGTACCATGTAATTACATCATTGTTGTGAAATGTACAGAAAAAAAGAAATGTTAACTATTTTCATTCAATATTTTCTAAAGCAGACTGGTTGACATTCTTTATTTTTTGTATGATGGTTTAATAGCTGAGGGGTGTGTGGGGGTACGGTTGAAACGTAGATATGGGTGTGAACTTGAATGTGGTTGATGATCCTCTCTTCAACCACTCCCATATCCATACATCGACACTTGGGCACATAATCCACCCTCTAGTAACTTAAAACAAAAGTCGAGCGACTGCAATCTTCAGTTAACAGTCGAAAATAATATGTTCGTTGAATCATGTAAAAGTGAAAAAAATGGAATGTTTAGTAAAGAGAAGTAATTATTAACATGTAATGTTCAGCGAATGCTCATTGTTTCTACCTTATTCTGAAATTATGAGCAAGGTCATAAACATTAGACCTTCCCATGAAGATCTTAATTTATTTGTTATTCAAAAAGCATCTAGGTACATTGATTTGATACGAAAATGCGTTCAGAAGCGGTTCTAAGCATTGTTGTTAAACGCATCTAGATGCAATTAGTTCTGTATCTAAGCTGCGTCTAGATGCATCTCTTTTGAACTTAAGTGTCACATAAGAATTTCTATATACCCATAAGAATCATATTTACGTCGTAAGTTTATTTATTACTATTCATAGAGTGATTCTACTTGATTAGCTGTGCATACTTGATCTATATTAAACAATCTTCAGAATAGTAGCATGTTTTCTCTTATGAAACATTATTTGAAAAAAGCAGTTATTAATAATACTTAGTAAATTGTCAAATCAACATATTATGGTTGTGCTATATCGTATATCTACAAATCTGAAATATTAAACAATTCTAATTTGCTTTCTTGGCACTAAAAGAAGATACATATAATAAAAACGCCAATGGTAGATTTGTTCGTGCAGAAAATTCGACATAAACAATGACCGTAAGTCCGTTAGCAGTTATGATTGGCTTTATGATCATTGCAAATATCATTGGCTGACTAGCGTCAGTGATTAGTACTTCAAGATCTTGATGTATATATCAGCAATTGTATGTTTTTCTTTTTTTTAATAATAAAGAACTCGCTGCCGACACAAACGCAATTCCAAGAAGCACGTAAGCCGTGAATTAGATGAAGTGCTTCAATTTCTTCAGTATCAGATTCTTGCTCTCTGTCGTCTTTGTCGAGTAACTGTAATTTGTAGAAGAGATTGACAGGCAAGCAATTCATTTTAGAAAAAAAAAGAGTAGAAAGAACCTTGTCGAAGTGACTCATATCAATCAGAGTTTCGCTGTTAGTTTTATGTTTGGTAAGAAGCTTCAAAAACTCTAGCTATATAGTTGAAGTTTTGCCGTAAGTCCATTATACAATGGCTTGATTTGAAGCACAACTCTGGCTGTCTATTAGATTGATAGAATACGTGTGAGCTTCATATACAATAATATCTTTTAGGAGAATACGGTTCCCTTCATAAATTAGACTTCTCTGCTTTGTAGCACTTGTCCGAGTTGCAATCATCAATACTTAATTTGAACGTTGCACACCCAATAAGTTCATTTTAATGAGGTAAATCACAGATTGAGTCATCTTCGTGACTGCTAAAAACACATTGCAACTAAGCCTATGGTTTTAAAAGTTAGAATCAACCTAGTGTATAGACAGTAGCATTTCAGTATGATTCAAATCTTAAATCTCGAGACTTTTGGCAAGAAAATAAGCTGAAGCTTTGTATTGCAAATTTTTTCAAAACCGCTCTATGTCACGTGTTACGATATTTTTTTGCCCATCAGACTTGCTCATAAGAAAAGCAAAGAAAGAAGAATATCTAGACAGGCAGTAGAAATCAGTGGCAGCAACAGTATGAAGCTATTGAGGTTTTATACAGAGCCTTATGACTAAGGGAATCATTTTCCCTTTGCTTAAGAATTTTTGCAAGTGCCACATTGAAAGTAAAATGATAGATTACGCTGATACTCTGTTATACTTGCATTTATTTAATTGTAGTTTTTTCTTTCGAGGCACTTTGGAATCCTTAGCTTAAATGAACTAGATATCTTCGATCACAAACATCTTTGATTGTCCAAAGCACTTGATTTCGGATAACTCTACTATTTTATTTATTAAAACTAGGTTTACTTCTGTTCAAGTAATGACTCGAGTCAATCAGCATGTGATAAACATTGATTGTCTTGTAGAGAAGAACTAAGGTACAAAAAAAAACGTAGGATATTATAGAGAATGAAAATCAGTATTCTTGCAGGACTCTATTTCATTGTACAGTTGTATACCATATTTCAGTTCATATGTACTTGGTATCGTAAACAAGTCGTATACTGGCTGTTTACGCTGCAATACGATTTCTTAAATCTTTCGTTGACATATCTGTACACAGACCTTATTTATACTATTTTCGTACCGTAATTGATCGTAAATAAGACAGAAGTTAGATTTTCATTGGCTACGCTCACACAGAAGATATAGCAGTTTACATTCAGCAACTAACAGCTGCCTATTGTAGTCTTATATCCTCCCACACTATACAGGACTATTCCTGTTCACTATAGTTGCATACAGACTTGGAAGGTTGAAACAGAAATCAGGTTTTCAAAATTTTCTTTTTTGGAACAAGAATAGAAAGACATGACAGATAAAGAATGCATGAAAAATCACATACTTTGTCGTTAGCTCAGTAATGAAACCAATATTTAAATCGATGAAACATAGTACAGAAGCATTTTTAAGAATTGGGTGATTAATCGTGATTTACCGCTAAAACTAATCGGATATTAGCAACATGGGTTATGCGAGCTTCTACGTACGTGGTGTCTTGAAAAAATTCTTTGGATACATCCCAGTATAGATATCATTTGTCTTAATTTTATTGCTTTTAATACATGTTGCATTTTATGCAAGAAAACAATAAGCTGAAACATCTTTTCTGCATAGATTCCACAGCATTACATACAGAGACTAGAGAACTGACTTCAACGGGTCAGACCACAAGAAATGTTGAATTGTGATTTGGAGTGTGGATATGAATCTTCTTTCACGCACATCCTCAAGATTCTACTAATCAGAAATAGCTGCTTAAAAACCGACAGATCAGACGTGGTTCTGTTGGTGTAGCGGTTATCACATCTGCTTAACACGCAGAAGGTCGCAGGTTCGACACCTGCACAGAACATTATTTTTCTTTTATTAATTTTTTTTTAATCTCATAATTCTTTAATAAACAGAACTTGATAGGAAACAATTAAGATTAACATATGATACTGACTATTCATTTTATTTCCCAAAACCTTTTCAAATTATCGTTCTACATATCAGAAAGTGAATAAATTATTTACGTTTTATCAGGATTAAACTAGTCCGAAATAGCTGCTTAAAAACCGATAGATTAGACATGGTTCTGTTGGTGTAGCGGTTATCACATCTGCTTAACACGCAGAAGGTCGCAGGTTCGACACCTGCACAGAACACTATTTTTCTTTTATTAATTTTTTGTCTCATATACTTTAATAAAAAACAAATTGACAGAGAACAATTAAGAACGATTTGGGTGTAGGTTATGGATGGGTATTGAGGAAGAGAATGTCAACACTCATATCCACTTCGTTGTCTTAGTTCAGTCCGTAGTAAGATTTTAAAATAGTTTTGAAATAAATTTAGTTTCCAATATATTATTTAACTGAAAGTATGTTGATCTGTTTAATATCGATAAAACAAAATTAAGACTAGTTTGATCGAAAATTAGTTGCAAATAATAATTGATTTATCTTCTAAAGCGTCAAGAGCAAAACATCGTTCGTTTGAAATTGTATCAAGTTTATGTTCGTTCAATTTATTTATTAATTACCAGACTATAAAACCGACGTCAAATTATTTTTATTTTATTTAATCAAATCTGTGATAGGTTATGTCATATTCAATTTTGTTATTATTTTATGGTCATTATGTTTTTGAAATTTATATTTAACTATAAGTATCGAATATTAATTATCATGTTTGACAATGCATATTAACTATTTCTAAAGATGTCATTGTCATGATTAATTATAATTAAAGTCATCTCAGTCAAATATTTGATGTCCTAAAAAATGAATTTGTCATCCATTAGTTGGATAAGGATCAATTCGGCGTAATGACATATTTAAATTTTAAAAATTTATTACATACCGCCTCTTACATTTCTAAAAATGAAATACTATGCCAACTAACTTACGATACAACTGAACAGTTGTTTGTTCTTTTCTCATAAATAATTTTCGTTTCAATTTCAATTTTTAAAGATTTATTCTCCATTTTTTTATTTTTATTTCTTTGTCATGATCGTATTAATTTGCTGGGTTTTTTTAAAGTTTTTAAATATGTTCTACAGTATGTAGTAAGAGAAATATGATAAAAATTAAGGAGAAAAATGAGAATCGATCTTTTCATAAAACTATTCAATTTAGATAGTTTGACTGCGGAAATATTGTTGAACTTGACGAACACTGGTAAGACCACTTTCAAGTGCACCATCTATAGAACCTCGCCAACTGTTAGATAAATCACTACTAGCAAAAAAACAATGGTAGTTTTGAAGTCTGTAGTACACGAAGATTCGATAATCCTTGACCTAATTTATACCATGACCAAGTACTTTCTACAAATGAACCATTACACCAATCATGTCCAAAAACGTGTTCGACTTTACAATTAGGTAAAAATTTCTGTAGTTCTCGTTCTACAGCTACAATATCTCGAATATCAAGTGCATTATCAGGACCAAAACGAACAATAACGGTACCTTCTTGATCATCCGTATATAAGCTACAGTTATTGGATTAGGATAAGATGCAAAACCACATCAATTACCTATTGAATTCTTCAGTTTAGCCCAAAATTTTGGTATCGCCACAACATTGACCTTCAACAATGGCACATTGTTTTTCGAATTCAAGTGCCGATTGAAATTCTATATTATGTAATGGATTTAATGGCACAGTTATAATAGTTGTACGAACATTGAATACTTGTTGAGATTGTGTTTGAATTCTAACTTTTTTATCCTCTGTTCTATGGACAGAAATAACAGATGTAGAGAGTAATAAATTCACATCTTGACAATCATCAACTATGGCTTGAACTAATGCACTTTCTCCTTCACGTATTTTAGATCGACTTGTTTTATCCGATGTTCGAATTGTATCATAATCTTCAAGTGCCCAAAAACATAAATGATCAAGAAATCCACTTTTTCTCAAATCATATTGTGTATTCATTGAAAGATAAGTATCTAAAATCTGACGCATATTATCATGATAATCAAATGAACTTGATATTTGTTTCAATCGTTCTTGCATTGTCATATGATCATAAGTTTGAATAGCTTGAAAAATAGTTAGAGGTGCATGTGGTAAAGGAATGACAGTTCGTCCTAGTATTTCACCTACAATTACTAAATTTACTCATAAGTTCACATAATTTAGGATAAAAATCACTTATTGAAAAGAGTTTTAGTCTAGTACCATTATCAAGTAATACACTAATATGATCAGCTACTACTCCTTCAGATTCAATTAATGAAAAACCACAATGTGTTATCTCAGTCCATATGTGTGATTGACTCCAATGAATTCATGTACCATCAATTTCGTATTGTTGATTATCAACTTGTGCAGTAAAAAGTTCTACCATCTATACGATTTTTTGCTTCAAGAATTAATACACTTCGATCACGACGACTAAGTTCACGTGCAGAAATAAGACTTGCAAATTCAGCACCAATAATTATTACATCATATTCTTTGTTATTGACTAACTTTGTATTATTATTAACAATTGTTGTTATTAATCCATTTTCAAATGTACTGTTTGCATGACAAATAAATCCATCGAGAGTTCTATTTGATGGTTTTCCAATATCAATCAGTACTATTTCGATATCAATTATAATAAACAATCTATTAAAAGTTTAGGTCACTTAACTAAAGAATACCACAAAACAAATGTACTCAAAAATGAAGAAACAAAACTTTTCTCTGTTGCTATCTCCTTTTTATAAATTGAATCATTCTTCTTTTCAACATATAACATCTATTGTTTCTTTTTTCATACTCTTATCTTCAAAATAGATGATGAGTTGCAAGCAAATCAAAAAAAAGCGATCTTTCACTACAAGACATGGTTACGAAAAGTAACAAATGCTACATGCCGACGGAAAAAAACATCTGAATATTGAATGATTGAATAAAATTTTATTTAAAAACCAATTGAATTCATTCGTCATTTTATTTTTCAATATATACATCTGCTTTTATAATATATACAAAGTTTTATTTTTTTGTATTTAACCTCCCATAGAATAGTATAGTCCACTGAACTTCGAACCTATTCTTCTAGTGAAAAGTTTGGAAGCAGACTGTTATTACGATGAACTGTTTTTATGTTCAAGCTATGATTTGATTTGTTTACAAGCACCGAAGTACGCATGACTCAATAAATTGGAATTCTCAAACTCTTTAACAACTTTTCGATAGTTACACATTCATCTGTTATCAGTACTTAGCGAATCTCAATATTGATACTTTGGTTAGAAAAATTATTGAGCTTTCGAGAAGTTGAGAAAAAACTGCTATTCGGCTTTGCCAGAGGGCGTCATGTTAAAAGCTTATGTACAATTCAGAAACTTCAGAAGTATAAAGTAAACCTTTTCACTATCAAATAAGAACTTATCATTGTTATGAAATAGCCAGTTCAGATCTTATGAGTATTTCAATAATAAAGAGTGCACTTATCTCATACTATTACTTTTATTTTGAGTTCGATAAATTGTCGTATAATTTCCACTGACTATCATTCAACTGTGTGGACTGTTTCATTTTTTTAGTTTATAGATTTGTCCATACTTTTGTCATCTTAATAAAAATTTACATTGCTTCATTGCTAGACTGTGTGTAATCCAATAAAAGAATGATATAATAGTATGAAGAAACTCATTTGTTCATCAGTAGAAAACATGAAGAAAAAAACGAAATTAGATACACAAAAGGAGTCATAACTAACTAGCAAAAAGCAATCAATTAATCCATTCGATGGTTTACATTGCTATGTTGCACTCGTTCGAATAGAGTGGGCTTCTATTCTATGGAAGATTTTACATTTAATCGTTCGATAATGTTAGTATATAAGTACAAACAAAGTTACTTATTACTTTCAATGAATTGCTTTGCCTTGTTAATACAAATATGCAAATCAATAATAATATCGGCATTCATTTGTGATGTACCTTGTTCTAACAATTCTATTGCTTTCTCATAGTTTTCTAAGGCATGAATATAGTCTTTTTGATGCAAATAACTATCACCGATGGCTTTATAAATAGGTACAAGATCTGAATGATTAGATTGTAGATAAGTCAAACTCGTTTCAAGTGCTAGTTGATAATGATCTAAAGCATTAACATATTGATTATTATATGTATAAATAGCAGCTAGACCACTATGTACACGTACAAGACGTCTAGGTTGACTACGAACAGAAGGATCATGTAATAATTCGAGAAGAAATTGTTCAGCACGTTTATATTCTCCCATTTCCATTAATAATTTACCCAAACAATAACCAGGATTTAAATGTATATCATCATTTCGTGTAGGTGCAACGATACGAAGTAATTGTTGATCATTAACATCGATTAATTTTAATTTAACAAACCATATTATTATTGTACCATTCATAGTTTGTTCAATAGATTCAATACGAAAAACGGTACTCATATAAAAACAAATCTCATTTCTGTTCATATCTGCATCTTTGAGTAAAGCAAATGGACTTTTTTCATTAAATTTTGTTTGATCAATATTTATTTCGAAAATAATACCTGTCATATTAGGATGCATTGTAAGTCGACGATCAACAAAATCAATAGCATCTTTTTTGTCAATAGTAGCGATAAGAAAATTTGTAAATGCAAGAAAACCACCACAATTATTCTTTACTGTCGTATCAAATTCAATAGATGACATTGTTTTACCACGATATACAATAGAAATTGTTTTCATTAATAATGAATTCTCTTCATGTAAATGATTCAATTGTATATTTGTTTGTTTAATAAAAAAGCCAAGTTTATAAATAATATCAATTTCATGTGTACGTTGTACACGATCAAGTATTTTTGAAATAAAACATTGATTTGTTAACCACCAAAGAGCTTTATTTGGACGATAATTTTTTGCAAATTCATCAATTATATGTAATTGTTCATTATTATTCATATAATATAAACGACAAAAATCAATGAAAACATCTTTTGAACAACTTTCAAATTTAAGACGAGCAATAATTTCTTTCAACATTTGTGTAAAAAGAAATGATGCTTGTTGTTTTGTTAATTTTGATGAAAATGAAATTTCTTCTGATGGTATGAATACAGTCGTAATAAGTATCAAATCCATTTCACATAGTTTCATATCTTCTTGAAGTTGTTTATAAAGATTATCAATATTTTGAATAATATCATATTTTAAAATTTGATATTTTTCATCATTTTGTTTATGAGAAGAATCAAATATATATAATTTTTCAAGTTGTGTTAAATGATGAAAACGTTCAAGTGTTCGATGTATTCCAGATATAATAAGAAATACTTTTTCATCTTGAATATTATCAATAAAAGTCATACATGCATCAATATTATTAAATGTTTTTAATCCATAAACAAGTGTTCGTAATTGTTTTATTTCATTTTCATATTTATTTGATGTTTCATCATAAAGCCAAATAATAAGATAATTTTCTAGAAACCGTATTGATTGTGGAATAGTCTTCGTTATTGATAATGATTCTTCATTATGTAATGAAAAATGTTTAGATATAATGTCAGATGTAAAATTTTTTGACGATGAACAACCCATTGTAAATCTGCGTGCTTTGTAAATAAAATTTTTTTTTTTCTTCTCTAAAACAAAACAGAAAAATACTATCTGTCATATTCTCCGTTCGCACTCTATTTCTAGTCATCTTTATTTTCTGTTTAAAAGAATAATAAAATAGAAATAGCAATATCTGGAAAAAAAAGCTGTTAGCAAAATCTCTGTGGGATAAAAATGTAAAACATAATGTAGCTGCTAGTTTTGTAAAAGAGAGCGTTAATAAATATATAGTCTTCGCTTTATGAAATCCTATCTACTGTTAATACATGTCAATAATGAAAGATATTAATTGCATTATATAGCTGTGAATGTGAACAAAATAATAACTATTATGCTAATCTACCAGTGAAATTTGCTCTTGTGATTATGTCTGTGCGAGGGAATGAGAGAGGACTCCGAATTCTTACATCTATACTTCGGTATTCCTTTTAGATTGCGCTTGTGATGTAATACAATTTGTTTTTTAATATATTTCTTAAAATATTGAATTCTTAAACTACTAGATCGTTTTATCTAATAAAAGAAAATGAAAAATATTTATAGAATTCTACACTATCTCATGAAAAAAAAGCTTTATTAAAAAAGAATTGTTGAAAATGCGTGTCTGTTTGAAAAGTGCCCTGCAGACGCTTTTAACGTTCTATTGAAATGCATTCTTTCAATTATAGACAAGATAATGTTACAATAAAAATAGTTTTTCAATTGTTGTAGTGTTATTCATATAATTAGTTTTATATCTTGCGGGTGTTGTTAAATGATAAATCTCATCATTTGTTTTCTTTGACATCAAAGCAAACAAGAAATTCTCTAGTTTCTTTTTTAACTATTAAATCAGATATGAAGTAAAAATGAACTCTCACAAATAATACTATTTATATCTTGCATAAAATTTAGTTCTGTATATCCCTCTGAAAAAATTGTTAGACTAAATTGCTATAAAATAATATTCTTACAAAAAATGATTATCTACACAGATAATACGCATTCTCATTATCAGATTCTCCGAACATGTATATGTTATTTCTTTTTCAAATTAATTTTCATATAGAAATAAACTATAACAAAAGTGACTATACATTAACAATATTCGAAATATTTGTTAACAAATAATTGAAAGTCAAAACTGATAATAATAAAGAATTATAGAGGATTTCACATTCTGTCAGAATATATACTTACTATTGTAATAGTTTGTTCCTATATTACAAAAGAAAAAAAAAGTTGAAAAAGAATGAAGAGATACATTTCCAGAGAACCTGACGATGAGAATGCCTTCATGGTGCTTCAATTTCTATTTTAGCGAATAACTACAATTCAAAACATAGACATGTAAGATTATAAACAATTCCATATGCTATCAGAATATATAATTACTTTTTCTAAGAATATTAATTTACAGAAATGATCTTGTTTAGTCTAACAATGTTGCTTTTATAAGGATATGAAATATGATAATGAAACAAACTATATTACTTTACTGTTTAAATCTAATAGATATATCATCATCAGAAAACATATAGTCAAAGAAATCTGTATCAGATTTTTTATTTACCAGAAGTATTGTTCGAAGTTGAAGAATTCGAAGAAATAATACGAACGTTATCTGTAAATAAGATTCTTTACATAAGAAGATAACAACTTGCTAATACACTCATATATCAAAATCAAAATTTTCGTGTATATTTTAAAGATGATCTTTGTATGAAAATCTATCAAACGAGCAGAACTCATAGAATTACTAAATGTCAATTGACTAAGCTATGATCTATTTCTTTTCTAATCAAAGCACATGCACACAACTTTGAACATGTCCTATTGAAGTTTTCCAAATCATCGATGCGAAAATTTTATAAAAACATCTTAAAATAAATCTGTTTTCTTTCTCAATGCTTTAACATGTTCATTGAGATTTGACATAAAATGCTCATATAAGCTCATGGTAAGCTACACATTATAATAAAAGAAAACATAAAAAAACCTATCGCACATTCTTTTTGTTGTAAATAATAATTCTATAGAATTAGAATAAATCTGATAACAAGCATACATACAGAAATAACGAAAGAACCTATTCTAGCATAATATTTCTTGAAATATTATAGAAGCAAAAGAAAATAGAGCTACTCATTTATACAACATGTAGCAAATAATTATTTTCGTAATTAAATTTATTCATGCATGTAATATATTAAAGTTCCTAACAATCAATGTCATATCTTCGTGTCTAACCTATAAAAGAATTGTTTATTTTATAGTACACAAGGAGGCAATTTGTGAACATCTGTTCAAGTTTGGGAAATTTGTAAAAGCTATCATAAGTTTTCCTGTTTGATTATACTTTGCTATCGATGCATGTATTAGAGAAACATAAAATGCCTATCATAATAGCTATACTAGAAAGCAGAGAATGTATTAATTGCATTTCCCACACATGTTTGTTTGCCATTATCTGTAACCTATATCGAGTCTCAACTTTTTCGAGCGATGTAGCTAAACTCATCAATAATCATCTTACACACATTCAGCCACAGGAGTATTTATAATACAATTCAATAGAGGCAAATAAATTCAAGACAAGAATAAAATGATAAAGTCTAATAATTAAAGTGTTCTATATAAATTGTAATATAGAAAATTCTAAGAAAAAACATCGAAAGAAAACATGTTTTAATTAACATCTTAATACTCATTAGCAAAAAAAAATCACTGTACAACTCCAAATATTTGGTAAATCAACTCGATTATTTTCGATTCTAAAGAATTAAAAACAAAAAAAAAAACTAGGAAAAATATTTATATTAGAATAAGCACCAGAGAAAAAAAAAGTTAGCCTCTTAAAGATGCTCATAGGTAGATTGAAAAAAACAACAATATGCATACATCAAAATGAGACGCCCTTTTGTTCTACTAACTTCTTCAAAGTGTTTTTTTTTTGTGTGCGAGATATATGTTATAGTTGAATGCGGCATTCGAAATGACTTCTATAAAAAGAATTTAATTAGATTCCTTTGAAATCTTTTTTCTTATCTGTTCATGTGACAACAAAAAAACGCTATTATTCATCTCTTAGTCTCTGTTCAAGAAAAATTTTCTTAATTATTTGACGTTAATGTCTTTTGTTGTCTTACATGCACGTGATGATCTGAGATTTCATGTCTAGACTACATAAAGTTTTTACATGTTCATGAAAGAATTATCAGTATCTTGAATTTTATTTGAAATTAAATCAATTGTTTGAGAAAGAATAATTATTTTAAATTTTAACTGAGAAAAAAGAAAGATATGTGCAAACTTTTTCAATGTACAGACTAGAAAAAAAAAACAAGACGTCGACATCTCATATCGTTCGAAAAAGCTCATAACTCAAAATATACATTGGAAAAAATGTTAGCAAATCTAACTATTTTTGGCAACCATATTTACCCATTTGACAGCTAAAAATGGGATGGATGTGACACTCCTGAATACCATAATGAATACAAATGAATACAAAAAAATGAATGAAAAATTAGTCTGTCACTACTGATTGTCTCGAGTAATAGGACATCAGTGAAGTTGATGATGTTCTTCTGAATATGAAAGCATTAATCAAATACACAGTTAAAAATAAAGAAAAAAAAATTTTTTTCATAAGAAAATAAAATTAGATAATAAGAAAAAATATAACAAATGACAAAAAAATTTCAAAATATAATAATCATAAATAAATTTCTATGAAATGTTTGTCAATAAGCACAGACCAACTTGACATTGTAGCATATACCATGAGAAAGTAATTTATAATTTTAACGGGTTAAATAAAAGCTATTTCTTTGATGTGTTTCATTATTTAGTCTAATAAAATAGTTTTATATATATTAATTAGAAAAAATTTTATAAGTCGTTATTTCAAATAAAAATGAATTATTTTCTCCAATTTTTCTAAACACTTAAAGTTTACAATTTCAATGTATTAAATCGTATCTATAATAATTAAAGTAAAAAAATTCTCTCGACTTGTGATAATGGATTTAGAAAGAGATAGAAATAAAGGATGTGCACTCCACAAAAAAATCATTGCTCAGTAGTATTATACGAATAAAAAATATATCAAAATTCGACTATTGTTTAGATACCGAAAGGTAATGAATTCTGAAGAGTAAAGAATTAGAGTTTCTTATACATCATTCATTGTTGTTCTCTCGAAATTAATTTAACTATTGTAGGAAATTTTATGGAGCACCTTTTAAAAAAAATTCAAGTCTTTAGAATTTATTTTTGTTAAGATATTTGCAAAATATTCGATATTGCAATCATTCAATAGTACTGTTACACAAGATCAGTGGCTCTACTGTTTCTATATTGACATATATCTTGAAATTGAAACCATTCATACAGTTAATGTTAAGCATCTTTAGATAGAGTATTAGAGAGAGAGAGACTTCGTTGAACAACTATAATAAATAACTTGTGTACTTCATTCTTAAATAATGCAGAGTGACATCAACATAGCATCACTCATTTGAGACAAATAAAAATGGAAATGAGACAATCATGCATTAATATAATTGACTTTTTCCTGTATAAAGTCTCAATCATTTTTTTCTCGTCTATCAAATGACTTCATTCTATTTATTGTTCTTTAGCATGTGACTAAATTTCATAATAATAATACATTGACATGATAACATATAACAAAAATGTAAAATGTCATATTATTGTAAGAATTTTTTTTCTCATTATTATTATTGTAATGTGTATTTTTAATATATTTCTTGATATTCGCTGGTAACTAATCAGAACAGAAACGATTTTTGAAGTGTACAACTTTGCGAGATAATCCTACTGAGTATATACTCTAGGCTGTCATTTAACTTTATTTTATCAAAAGAGTCTTCGTACGTTAAACTAATCTATTTTGATAGTATCTTATAATGGAATTTGATATGGATTGATATTTTTGTTTGTTTTTTTTTTCACAGCAACTTCATCAAGGGCTCTGAAACAACTCAATGAAAAATGATGAAACTTTCAAACCAGATAGATATCGATAATTGAAGCAAAACTTGTCATAGACTCAAAATTTCTAGATGCTTCTACTATAATACGATACTGCATTTATTGATATTAAAAACAGTATTCTATTATATTGTTTGTTCGATCAGTGCGTATCGAGAGATTTTCTCCTGAAACATGTATTCAGGATTATAATGTTACTAAAATTCCTTTTTGATAATCATATGCATTCTGCTAGACTATTCTTTCATTTCTATCGGAATAAGACTCAAGCCTTTAGGATACAACATTAGGAACAATTATTAAGATAGATTAATCTATAAAAATTATCAAAGATTAATAAACTTAACTGTCATAAACAAAGAAACACAAATTGGAACAATTGGATCGACAAATTTAGAAGTTTATACGGAATTACTTACGTTTTACTAAGTCGTCGTGACAGAAGTGTCACGAAATGTAAGATGTTCACAAGTACTATCATAAGTCTTGTATGTCTAATTCATATATCTAAACTTTAAGATAATGATATTTCTCATACACTTGTCAGTAAAAGAAAGCTAAACATTATATCAACGTACTCCAGATAGATATGCGTTTCAACTAAAAATGAATAAACTCATTCTCGAAATTTGCTATTTATCTCAATGTTTCTTTATTGAATATAGACAATAACCAAAAGAATTAATATAGTATTAAATATTAACATATCGACTAACTATTGTGCATCGACATCTGTAATATCATTTATGCTTCAGTAATTTAAGATTCATAAATATTAGAGATTGTCAAGGGCAATAATGTAAGTAAATAAATGTAATACAAACAGCAATTCAAAAAAAAAGTCATCCTCAATTAATAAAATTTAAAGAAAAAAATTAAATTTTAGTTATCTCCATCAAATTATTTATAATAAATGTTTCTATATATAAGAGACAATTATTAAGATAAGTTTAGATTAAAATTAGAACAAACAAGGAATGTAAGAAATTAGACAAGATATATATTAAGATGACATGGAAAGTCAAAAGTAAAAGAAAGAAAAGTACTTCCTTGAGATAATGAACTAGTTGCGTCAGATAGTAAATGTTTTGGTGAACCTTCAGAAAAAATATATGATGGTGTTGAATGCGTAGTTCAATTTAAATCAGATTCAAAAGATTTTTATTACAAATGATTCTTTAAGATTTAATCTGTGTGAGATTACTAATTCTTTATTCGTTTCTTTATTTTTACTATATTTATCTAATTCTTCCATAGTTGATTGAATATTGTACTTTGTATTACAGCTATTATGTTGATTTTTACTTTTATCCTAACTGGCTGTCTTCATAGCATGTTTTAAACAGATAATTTGATGAATGTTCAATTATAGTATATTTATCTTGAAGTCTCATATTATTTTCGTTTACACATTTTTTTCAACGTTTGTTCTTAATTCTTTTTATTGCATTAATTATATGATTATTCAACTTGAAGTCAATATTTGATATATTTTATGTGTTTTGATCAATGAAACTTTTCATTACTAATTTATTAGATTGTTATCATAGTTAATCAATGAATTATGTAAAAAGTCAGAGTTCTGAAATATCACTAATAGGACTTTTATCATTGGCAAATATTTATCAGTCATTGACCAGTCAGAGAAGTTCTCAAAAACTATATTCTGCATCTATTTTCATTTCGATCAAGATTTTTAATAGAATTAATTGACAGAAAAAATTATTCTCTTTCGATCTACACTAGACCATCATTCCTATCTTGTTCCATTCAAAACCTATAAAACTTTCTCTGATACCCCCGAATTGAGTCAACTGACTTGTGATCACCTGGAAAAGCAGCTAAGCAGGAGTAATTTATCACGTTAAATGAAATGATGATATTTATTTTTCGATTTGACGTGATCTGGCACTTTTATCTTAACATTTCGGAAATGACGACTCTTTCGTTATATGAAGGCCGATTTTGAAACTTCAGGAATATTCCGATAAGAGAGTCAGATCATTTTGAACCTAAAAACAAATATTACTATTGTACTCAGCAAGGTAGTTTCTTGTAAAAATCATTTTCATATACATTTATTTAAGACTTAATTGCAAACTAAGTTCTTCGATCCAATTTTCTTCAATGATGTTTGACGTTTTTATTCAAAAGTATTTAAATAAATTTCTATTTCAAATTTCTTTATATTAGAAAAATGTATTTCTGAAAACAGTTTACAACTTCATTATCTATATCATCATCATTTATGAAAGTTAATTTTAATAGATTCATCATAGTTTTAAAAAATAATTCTTCGTCATATATCTATTCTCTCTTAATTGAATTGTATATAATTTTATGAATAGCATACAAATTCATTTTAATTATTCACTAAATAGATAATAATACAGAACTATATAAATACTTTTCGTTAATAAAAATTAAAATCTTACAATTTTTCGAACATGGTAGATCAATAATTTTTTCTAGATATGTATAATCGTATGATTCATTCATAATACAACTAATAAGTGTCTTCGGAAGAATATAACTAAAATAAACAGTTTTTTTTTCTTCTATGATAAAAAAAAAAACGGAAAACTACCAATAATTTCTTTGATAAAAAATATCACGAATTTCAATCCAAGCACATTTCCATTGAATCGACGTTGTTTTTTCTATTGATTTGTTGATAAAGCAAATCTTAACATTACTTATCTAATAAAAGACTGAATGAATATACTGAAATATTCAGTTTTTTTTTTTCGAAGTGTATTAATTCTAATTTCATGTATATTTACCTCAGTATCACCAATATTATCAATAATAGCAAGAAAAAAATCAATATTATCTTTTTGAAATGGAATTTGATGTGTTTCTGATGAGCTCAATGTTTCATTATATGATTTTCCATTAGCAAAATTCATCTTTGAGAACAATTATGACATATAAATGAAAAGAAACAAAGAATGTGTTTGTCTTACATGAATAGAAATCATATTTTGACTACTCGAATCAGATATATCTGTAGTTTTAATAGAAATTGTAAATATATTCGATCCTATATTAACGAAAAATTCAATTCTATTATAATTTATATCATTTCAATAGACACCTTTGTTACGATCAATTACTGGAACAGATATTTTTTGTTCTAAATTTGGTCCAAACCAATGATTGATAAGAAAACTAATCGATAAATTATTCGTAAGATAATTTAATCATATAAATATACGTACAAATATTTTTCATCAGTTAAATTATTGATAACTTCAATACTTTCACAATAATATGGTAAATTATCACGACTATCACATTGAATATGTAAATAAAACAGCTTAGGAAAAAAATAATTTCTTTTTTCTCTTTTGAATTTATTCAAAAATTAAACAAAATCTATCATACTTGACCAATATCAACAGATTCTAATGATGAAATATAAAATATATCTGTTGAACCTGATTGAAATAAATTCTTTGTTGTACATTGAATTAAACTTGAATTTGAATTAAGATCAAATGGAATTGTTGAAGCACCATCACCAATCAATGCTAGATGAATATTTGCTTGACAACAACTACTAATAGTACCCGTACGTATAATAATTGTATAAATTGGAGCTTAACAATAAAAATCTATCGTCAGACAGAATTAAATTGTAATCGTAGGTTACCAAGTTGTGCAGGACCTTCTTTAATAAATATATTAAGTTTTTGATTTTGATTTGAATCAAGCCATCGATTTATTGGAAAACTTTATATGTTAATATCAGACAAAGTAAAAATAGACATATAGATTAATTTATGAATCATTCCGAAAATTCAAACGAAAAAAGAAACACATATATCTCTTTATTAGTTCAAAGAATTAATTTGAAATTGTCATAATTTTATTGGAACATCCGTCAAATTTCATTCAGGATATGTTCAATAAAATGTATCCATTTATAAATATTACAATCTTAATAATTTCATCAGTATTTGTAAAACGAGTGTTACAATGAAACGTTACATAGAGAATTTATCAAAGTTATCTCTCAACGTTTTTATACAACTGACATTGTAGCATATCGATTATATTCTAGAAGCTGTAAAGTAATGATAGATGAAGAAAGCCGCATTATCATAGAACCGAGAAAATATCTTAAACAAGATGGCTTCGTCGCATATTGAAATTAAAAATTCTTTGTTTCTGGAAAACATATTTCCTAACACTTGGACTCAAAGACTTCTACGTTCACGAGCTTAACGTAGCTCGGATCAGAGAATGGGAAAGTACAGGGCCTGCAGGACGCCTAAATCACCTAGGTTGATTATGATGCAATGAAGTTCTGATCTAGTAGTTAAATTCATCATAATTTTTCATTGTTATTAATAGTAACTAGAAGAGTAGATGCCATACTAGCGACTAGTGCTTCGGTAAAAAAATTATTCAGCTCAACTGAATTGACATTTACTCGAAGTCAAACAAATCAAATTGACAACATATTATTTATTCGTTTATATAAGAAATTCAATCCTTTTTTTTTGTAGTTCATCTTTATGTTTATTTTATTATATTGTAAATGATTTTTGTATAAGTAGTGCGTCTATAATATTTAACATCGTATTTCATCTATAGATCAATTCTTTTCCTTTGACAAAAATCCAATGAAAAGATCATACTACAAAATACGATGACTTAATGATAATGCCCTGTATTTTGCAAGATAAAACGAAGAAAGCTATCCTATGATGTTTTCTAGCTCGACTTTTTTTTTCTATGTGCAATGATACTCAAAAGAAACTCTATATAATATCTTATTTTCAATTATTTAAGATTTATATGTGTCAATTTTGTAAGATGACTTTAAACAGTAGATGGAAATAAAATAATTCGAAAGAAAATTTTAAGAAGTATCTTATAAAAACATAAAAATCTCATATCAATTATTTGAACGATAAAAATGATATTCATATTTCTATTTCATTTGTACTTTTTTCGAATATTTCCTACTTGAAAATAATTTTTTCTCCATTTTCATTATCTCGTTCAAGTTCAATCCAATTTAATTTCCATTTTATATTATTTGCATCAAGTTTCACATGTGCAAGTAATAACTATAGATATAAAAAAAGAACGAAAAACAAATGTTTATAAAAATCATTTGTTTTATTTACATTGCCAACATCAAGTAATTCAATTTTATTTTCATATATATCTTCATTGAGTTTATTCAATGGTACAAATAAGGTTTGAGTTAAACCTTTTTCACCTTTAAAATAAATCAATAAAGTATTTGAATTTGATACATTATTATTTTGTTGAGTAAATGTTTCAGATGCTGTTTTCAGACGAAAACGATATGATTGTAAGAACATCGTTGTATTCGTATAATATAGAGACAAAATACAATTAATCAATAAAAAAAAAAAAACAACTGAAAGCTTTTGCGCTTTTTCATTACAAACAAGAGAAATATATTTTTGCAAGTCAACACCAACGAAACAGACGAAATCAACAATGTTATAAAATGGACCATTTTGATTTTTAGTATTATTTGACGCACTTAACAATTGCTGTAGGACAAAATATCTAAGACGGAAATTTGTCATTCTCATGTAATATTTTTACTTATCTCTACGGCGTCATTTCGATATAAATAGACGTAACTAAATTTGAAGCAAAATATGACATTGCATATGCACTAAAAGTTTCTTCAGTTATTCGATTATTCTATGACTAGACTGTTTAAAAATGATGCAGTTTATTCACGACATACTTTAGATAAGATATAAATATTTGTATAGACATAGTTAACGATTAAATCTTCATCATTCGTGTATATTCTTTCATATTCGAAAGAGAGCAGAAAGAAAAGAAGAAAAAAAAAAACAAATCATATGTGATAAAACTTTTCTTTTTCTTCTCCATCATTCTCGACAGTTATTATTGATTACGTCTTTATATGTTTAAACACATATGTTGACCTTGCATTTGAAATTTTGCTTCATCACTACTAGTTATATAATATATTGAAAACTTTTCATTCTTAAATTGAAATACAATGCTTAAATCAGATGTATATCTTGTAACTGGCGGTAAATATTCAATATAGAAAAAAAAAGAATAAATAAATAATTTCTTGTTTTTTTTTTCTCCAAGGAGCTGGATTTATTGGTAGTCATTTAATTGATCGTCTACTTGAACTTAATCTTGGTCATGTTATTTTATTAGATAACTTTAATGATTATTATTCACCTGTAATAAAACAACGAAATGTTACATTACTTAAAACACGTTATTCAACTCGTCTACTTGATGGAAGTTTTATTATTATTCGTGGTAATATTAATGATGAAGAATTATTAAATATGATATTTAATAAATATAAAATAACACATATTGCTCATCTTGCTGTTAGTATTATATCTTTTTTTTTTTTTCTTTATTATATTTTAAATTAATCAATGACTTTTCGACATATTCAGGCACTTGCTGGTGTTCGTTCATCAACTACTCAAACAGGTAAATATATGGAAACAAATTATATGGGTACACAAATTTTACTTGATCTTGCTGTTTCACATAAAATTACACAATTTGTTTTTGCTTCAACATCAAGTGTTTATGGACAAACAGATAAATTACCATTTGTTGAAACAGATTCATGTGCACAACCATTATCACCTTATGCAGCAACAAAACGAGCTGCAGAAATTTTAGCACATGTTTATTATAATATTCATGGACTTAATGTAACTATTTTACGTTTATTTAATGTTTATGGACCACGTGGTCGACCTGATATGATGCCATTTAAATTAATGCGTGGTTGTATTGATCCAACATGTGTTATTGATGTATTTGATGATGGTGAAATAAAACGAGATTGGACTTATATTGATGATGTTATTGATGCATTTATAAATGCACTTGAACATCAATATGGTTATGAAATAATTAATATTGGATGTGGTAATCCAATAAAATTATCAACATTTATTGAACATATTGAACATTTATCTGGTAAACAAATATCAAAACAATCAATGAAATCACATAAAACAGAACCTTCAATAACATATTGTGATAATTCAAAAGCACGAAAATTATTAAATTTTATACCAAAAACAAGTATATATGAAGGATTGGAAAAAACATGGAATTGGTTTCGACAAGAATATAATGTCGATAATAATTAACATTAAATTGAATATTTATTATAACTATTTGTTACAAGTTTTATGGACTATAACATAACAAAAAAAGTTTTTTTGTTTCACTTCTATTTTAAAGTATAACACATGTAGAATTGCATCTGATAACATGATTGTAATCATGCTCATTTAAATATATGTTCTAGAGATTAAATTAGTTTTGTTTTTGGTGTATTATTTTTCATTGTTACTTTTTATGTACTTTTGGTGTTGTTTTTAATAAATTCATGACTATTGCTTACATGACATTACTTTTACCATGACTTGTCGCTGAGAATTATAATCATATCAGACATAGACATTGTTTCGACTATAACTGTCAATTCTCTCAAGGTTACAAAAGTAACATTTATGATACTTTTGTAAGGTTACAGGTGAAACAGTTATTCTTTTCACTCACAGTGTACATAGAACAGAAAAAAGAAAAAAATAAATATTATGAAGATGACTAATAATTACTTTATATATTACAGTATGTCCATACGTACCGAACGCATATCGACAGTAGGTTATCATTCGGAGAACAACTATCAGTATACTACGGTAAAATGATAGTCAGAAAATAGACGACCGTTTAAATATCAAACTACTGCTAATTGATTGTTGGTATATATCAGCAGTTTAAATTACATGAACTGCTGTTCATAAATATCTTATAGAATCTATATACAATTTTCATGATATAAATCTGTTATATCTAAACTGCAGATTGGAATATTTTCTCAAGCACAAAATAGTACCCTTATATGAGAACGCAATACAATGTTGAACGAGAGAGCTAAATCATATGTTTTATTTCTTTTGAGATAAGACAAATAGACAAGCAAAAAGAAACTATAAAAAAAAATAATGACACTGTAATTAAATATAACTATTATGATAAACGATAATATCATGATTTTAAACGACTTCTTATCGATAACAAATCTGTATCGAATATTAACTTCTTTTACTACCGACATAAGATACGAAAACGTTATATAGATATGGCTTTACATGACGTTGATTTTCGTTTCTATCATGGATCGTTACAAAATGATGATGTACAAAGTAGCTACTGTTTGAAGTTTGCTCCTACTCAAATGTGTCAATAAAAAATATGCATTGTAATGGATTACATAGGTTTCACATGGTGATAAAGCTCATGACGCATATATGCGTCACCAGTCATCAAGGGGTTAAACAATGATTAATAGAGGGTCTTGTGATATTTCATTACACGCAATCTTTTTATAACTTCTGAAGTTTACATGAACTTTTACTTCTTAATTAGATAATCCAATACATTCAGTATATATTTTTTTGTCAAGCACAAGCTTGGATCTTATGAGCTGTTGACATGAAAACTTCTCAAACTTTACCTCCACTGCTCTTGATAATGGTATATTGAACAATGAAATTAGTGAAACATATTGAGGAATTCCGTACAACACAAGTTATTCTATTGATTCATGTAGCATAACGAAAATTACAATTTCGAGCAGGCATGTAACAATATCGAAAAATAAATGGTTGGATGCATTTGAAAGAATGTAAAAGGACATGCTCTGGTTGTATTGTCAATAAAAACAAACGGCAGATCAATAGACTATTTTGAAAGCTTTTATTAGTATACTAGAACCTATAGATTGTAATTAGATGGAAACGAGATAAGTCAAAGATAAAATTATCTAGTAGTTGAATAATTTTGATATCTACTGTACGTACTGATAGCCCAAACAGTGCTGTATAATTTTATAATATTTCACCATTCTTCAGGCGGCGTCATAATGTAAGAGTTTCGATCAAAGACGTTCATCTCTGATTTAGATAGATAAAAGGTATTGCTTCTGCAAGATATTCCATGCTGTACTATATATCTAAGCGCGAGTTGTTTACGATAAAATATATTTTGTTTTCGTCAGTCAAACTTTACCTTTTAGAAAAGTTGAAAACTAATATTAATAGTTTCGTGAAGGTCAAAGAGACGTTGAAGACGAAGAATAAACAGTCAGACATATAATTCAAACCGCATATTTCATGATTACTCACAATATCAGTTGTTACAATACTTACCGAGTCGTCATCTTTTCAAGTTTATGATGATCGGAGATTGTTCGTAGAATGGCACCATGGCTCTGATTAGTTTGTGTTTGTAAGTCATTAATTGTATGTGGTCTCGACCTTCACGAAACTATTCATATCATTTTTCAACTGTTCTGAGAAATGAAGGCTAACTGCTGACAATAAACTATAGTACAATATGCACTTCATTGCAAAAGTGAACGTTTCCTTATTCGACAAAATTGAAGATTTATATTTCACACTAGTTTACATAAAACATTTTTTAAATGTTTGAAAGTACATACTAGTTTCATAAGTCATATCATATCATATTTTTGGATTTTGCATGTGATAGTTGTATTGAGCAGCAAAAAATCCTTAAGAAGTATGATTACTGTTATTTAACAACAGTTTATTTTCGAAATAAACAACAATATTTAGTCGATAAACGAAAAAAAATTTTGCACCGAAAAATAATGTTAGTCCCATTAGCAGTTTTCCAAAGCGTAAAAATTAATACAGAAAAATTTCAATTGATTATAGTTTTTGAGAGGACATGATTTTCACCAACAGTTACTTGTGTGAACGCTTTCGGTATTCAAATGTTTGAGAAAATACTACACAAAAAACAAGTATTCAACCTTTGATATCTTAAATACACACCACTTCGGACAAATTCTTTTTTATGCTTTTCTCCTCAAGAATTTCAAGGATAGAATCAGCTCTGAAGATGGTTCATTTGAAAACAATAAAACATTTAATTATAACATTTTTCTCTTCATCGTCCAATGCTCTCGTGCATTTAGAGATTTTCATCAGCATGAAATCCTACGTGTTGCATGCTTTAGTAGTGTAGAACTCATTAATTATGGTAATGGCTAAAATCTTCTAGTACAAATAATAAAAAACTTTGAAAGTTGAAAAATGTCAAGATTCTTCGAGATTTATACAAATAAAAAATAAAATTTAATATTAATATCGATCAATAGGAATGATATTGTCTTCTTTAAAACAACTGTTACTTCAGATAGCCTTAAAAAAATATTAATTAATTTTCAAAATTAAAAGCGTTAACTACGACTGATAAAAAAACGAAGTGCAACGATACATATTCGAATGATACTTTGGACAATTTCATTTCATCTTATGAAATAAATGAAGAAAAACTTATCTTTGAATTACTTATGTGTCAATTCAACGTTAAAGAAAATTACTCCATGTTATAAAATAGTTGCACAGTTCATACAAACACTGATATATAAAACATGTCTTCTTTTTAATTAATAGTCCATCAAATAAAATTATTCTGTAATAGAACATGGCTAGAATCTGAGGATCCATCATATCAATAACAAAAAATGCACTCGTATGCGCCAGCTGCTGTTTCGACAGGAATCACAGATCATTTGAAGAGTAGTGAATGTAAAAAACTGTTTTCTTTCGAACTGCATATAATATATGGGCTTAAAAAGTGCATCGTATGCATAGACGGCGCTAGTTATTGCCGTCTTTGTCTTGTCACAGAGGAACAGAATGCAAAAAAACAACGATTTTTTATTTAAAGTTTCTATTCGTTCGAATAAGCCATTATTGCGTCCTCATCGCCACTCATCAAAATAAATATCTAACAAGATGTGATGAATTTCAGAAGCATTGATTATGTGAATATAGTCAACTCAAGAAAAAATGGATTTTTTTTGGACAATGTGAAACTTGTTTTTTTTCTCATATAACAGCTTGAGAATAATTGCCTGAATGAAAATATTGGTATTCCTTTAGCTGGTGTTACCACTCATAAAAAGTATTCCACCATCGGATATTATAACATCACACGGCATAATACTTTTCACGAAGGAGAACATCAGCTAAAAGAATATCGAAATACTTTTTTTTTCATCTCGTTAAATTTTTTTGACAATATTTTCTCGCAAGAAATTGACAGTGATTTTTTTTTCTACAGTTATGGGTATGCTGAGATATAAGCATGCATGATTGTGATGAAAGTTATCTCAATACATAGAGCATGTTGTTTGAAGAAGAATGTACAATGTTTAACATATTTTTCTTTTCAGTGAGTGTCTTTTTTGACCTTTGCCTGTTATTTATAGAACAAGGACATGACGTTGTTTTTGAAGAACCATCATATTGATAGTGTATTTTCTGCTTGCTAAATTTGAAATATTCAATTCTTAGTCATAATCAATGTATTTAAAAATTTCATCAAGTCTTTCAACTTGCAAACAATTAGAAAAAGTTAAAACGAACGAAATCTTCGCTTCTATACAGATCTAAAGTTATTATGGACATATCTAACTGTTCTTGTTTTTTTTTTCTTACACATGTGCATTTGGAAGTGATGCATTCGTGTGGATTTATACTTCTATTTTCTTCCTTCATCGCTTGTCGTAAAGAGAAAAACCATACGTCCATTTATTTCTGAAGTTTTATTGATCTCTTGAAGATAGACAATATTGATTAACTAGTATTACTTAGAAGATAAGTAGTACACCATTGTAATTTGGTAATCTTTTTCGTCTTCACTTTCATTATGTCAAAGTCCAATATAATTTTGTCTGAATGCAAAATTTGTGGAGTTCCTGCTTCGTATTCTCATTATGGTGTTATATCATGCATGTCATGTAAAATGTTTTTCAAACGAAATGCTGAAAATCGAGAAGTTAGTTAAAATAAAAACTATTTTTAATTCTCTAATTAGTTTGTTTAGAAAACATTGAAGTGCCATTTTGATGGTCAATGTGAAGTGAATATTCATACTCGTCATGTATGTTCTGCATGCAGATTAGAAAAATGCTTCAAATGTGGAATGTGTATTGACATGATCCAATGTATTCGAACTGGGAAGAAGAGAAAAAATACTGCATCATCAGCCTTACTTGCAGTGCTAAATCGAAAAAATGAACAATCATCAAAGGTTACTTTTTTGTATTATTATTATTATTATTATTATCATTTTATTCTAATTCAGTGAAGAGTATCAAGTAAATTTTTCTTACCATACACAAAATAAATTGTATACAAAGAACATACTTATTATGAATAAGAAGCAACCTAAGAAAATCAATTCAACAGTCAAATATTGTCAATGGCATTGTGATCCTATCAAAGTCGGTAGATTATTGTAAGAGTATTGTTACAAAACCAAATGATAGAATCACATTTAAATCTATAGTATTTCGATTCGACTAGATTCTACAGAAAAATATCGTGAGAACTGATTTGTCTAAAACAGAGAGTATACGATTACTTAAGCTTCCCTCAAAACAAAGTCACTTTTCGTTAGCATGGTCGAAATTAAGATAAATATATAGGAAGATAATTTTATATCGTTTTTTTATTAATAAATAGTATTTTTTTTTTCATTTATTATAAAAAAAAGATATTGTCATTTTCGTTTTAGCTAACAACAATAAATTTACTTGATCAAGATCGATCATTATTAACTACTGATCAATGGACACTTCTATCCAATTTAATTCATTCATACGATGAACATAATGCTCTAACAGTTGCAAAAGATTTTGCAAAAGATTTGAATAGTTCACATCCGAAATTACGTTTCAAAATAGATGCAAACAAAACAGTTAAAATTATTACAATTCTTTGTCAAGCAACAGAACCATTTATTCAATCAAATCATCATTTTGCTTCATTACCTCAGCATGATCGTTCGATTATCTTGCGTGGTACTGTCGATAATGTTAGTTGTCTTGGTGCAGCTTTGATACTGCGTCAATCACAACTTATCACAAATTCAGGTTTTCGTAATGGTCTGGAAATTACTTATGGCACTATTCCATATTATTTAAGTATGAATTTAATTTCATCATTGAATCAAGATTGTGATCTTGTTAAATTATCATTATCAATATTGGCTTTTTGCACAAGTAGTTGTGCTATCTTTAATAATAATACTTCACTTATGTATTTGACAGATATTCAATCATTTTTAAATATACAAAATATGTATGCTGAAGTTATATGGAAATATTTACTTTATAGATATTCGTTTGAACAATCTGTCGTACATTTTAATCAACTTGTTAAAAGTATTATTGCTGCAGTTACCGTTAGAACTCATCTACAAAATGTTAGAAATCATACTGATGTTATTGAGACACTCGTTCAACATATTGGACAAAAACAAATGAACATTCATGATAATTAAATGAATTTTATTTTTCTGTTTCAAATTCTTTTGTTTTTTGATAATGTAAATAAATGAAAAAATAATGTGTTTAGAAAGAAGAAATTTATTTTGTCGATATATTTCTAAGTAAATGATTAAACAAGTACATATTAAATATGAAATGCATATTATTGTCATCATACATTGCATTTTAGGTTTTTAATGTAAAATGGAATGTTCTTCTTAATCTAAATAAGATATGATAAACATTCAATATTTATTTAAAAAAAATAATTAACTTTAAAAACAAAGCTTAATGAGAAAATGGTATTGAAATTTATTTATTATTATCATTAATGTTGATGTCATCTTTGTTTTCAACATTGTCAAACATATATTTTTTTGATAGACTACATGTACAAGGAAAAGTACTATAAAATAATATTCATTGAAATAATCTTAGAGTGTAAACATTGTTTGAATAACTTGAAAATAAAAAAGAAATCATATGATGTCTTCTAGCAATATTCCCAGAAACTCAATTAAGTACTAATGTAATAGATATAGAGATATAGGAAATATAGAGACATTGGAGGTATAAGTAACTTTCAATACAATCGAAGTACGATCCGCCCTCTCGTCACCGCTCTGTTTTGAATTTTCTTCCGTGCATCCATATTCAGCACGCAGCGCCGCATGTAGGTCCAGCGAAGAAAGTTCTAAACGGAGCGGGGGGAGCGGCTGCATGTGGATGCCGCAAAAAAACTCACAACCCACATCGGTACATGTGAGTGCCGCGAAAGAACTCACCGCCCGCATCGCTACCATATCTCCTATATCTGCTGAACCTAGTTGCCTAGGACATAATTGAGTTTCTGAGGAAATCCTCCAAACGCATCTAATCAAAGAAATAGAGATTAGTGTTTTTATATCATTTCAATAGTCACATATTTTTAAATGATTTGTTTTACGAAAGGAAATTTCTCAGAGAAAAAAATCATCTTCAATTAAAAAAATATTATATATATAGATGGTTTTGATGTTTTCAATTGAACAAGTAAATAATCCGAAGTATTTTCTCAATAATAAAAGACCACTGAAAATTTCCTTTGTAAAAGTTTTAATCGAAGAAATATGCTTTGATCATTGATGAAGTTTTTGAAAAGAGCGACAGAAAAGAAATTCATTGCTATGAAGGATAAATGTCTGGTGGAAAAAGTGTTGTACAAATAATTGTAGAAATGATTATTCATTTTTTTATGAGATGTCGACTTTTTTTTTTTCGATGATTAGTTTCGTATCGCATTTCACAATCGAGTGAAATTCGAATACTATCTTATGTCAATAAGTATGTTATTTACATGATTTTATTAAATATTTTTATTTGCAAATTAAATTTAAACAGAGAGAACATGCACACAGATTCGTTACTGTTTCTCAAACATAATCATGTTGATTTATCTTCATATATATATATATAGACACATACAAAATAAAATAGTAAATTAAGAAGCACTGAAAGACACCAAAAAATATTTTTATGGAAAAACAAAAATTATTATTAATTCATATAAAACAAAAGGAAAACGACTAGATTTAGGTTTTAGTCTTATTTACAATTTGATACGTTGTTTATAGAAATCAAATATACTGCCCAAAACAAAAGCGATGAATCTATATCGTGTCATATATCATCTGACCAATATGTTTTGTTTTTTTTTTATTATAATTTAACCAATGCTTCCTTTTGATCGATTTGATGATCGAGATCTATAACCAAAAAAAAGAAAAACCAATTAGTCAAATAATAAATATAATCATATTCATCTACTTGATTTGTCCAGCAAGTAATGGATTAAATGCATAAAGCCAATCATGAACATCTTTATCAACTAATGGTTGAATAAGAAAACTACGATATTTTGAAACAACGGAAAATATATTTTGAGTATTCTATAAAAAGAAAAAAAATAAAATAAAATGAAATTTTCGAAAACATTCAATCAATTACTCTTGTTCCATTCATTGATTTTTCATCATTTAATTCAATACGTGCTGTTCCTAAATTAATTAATGCACGTACAACAGGATCTTTTTCATGATTATATATAAATACAAATGGACGTCGTACAATCTAGAAGAAAGGTTTTTTTTTTTTCGAGATTTTATATTTTAAAATTTTTTTTTAAATTTTACATACAACATATTTTTTTATCCAATCTGTTCCTTTTTCTTCAAAAAATTTTAAATAACCACGACGTAATACAGTCGGTGAGAAATGAATTTCTTCAACTGATGGAATATATTTTGATGTTATATTTGATACATTCATTAAACTTTCCATTGAATGAGATTTTAACATATTAGGTGATATAGAATCATGAATATTATTAATACAATGTACAGATGATATTGGAGTAGATGAATCCAAATGAGAAAATCTATAATAAAAAAAAAAGACAATCAGATTTTCATATAAATTAACTCGCAAGATAATATTAATCGAATTTGCAGTATGAAAAGAAGTCAATCAGTTATTAGTACGAAGTGTAGATCAAATAAACAAAAAGAGCTGTTTCGAACAGTTCACTCTTAGAAGTCGAACTATTTATTTATGAAAAAACTCCAGTACGAAAGAAAATAAAGAGTAAACATGACGTCTATTGAAAAATCAATAAGTGTATATGAATTTTGATGTCGTTGTAGGAGAAAAAACTGCTCAAAGCCATAGACTTCCGCATTCCTTCATCCATTTTTGCATACTGAATGTTCTAGTGCTCTTCGTTCCATTTTGATATCAGAAAAAAATTTTATATATTCGGAAAGTGTCATTCCCAAAAATTGTTCGGACAAAATACTCTACTAAATTGAAAATTTTTCTATTCTAATGAGTTTTTATTATTACTAAAACTATTTCTCAATTTAATTCTTTTATTTACTTTGCAAGTTCCAAACCACTTGAAGATGGTTTCATAAAAGAATTTATCATAGTTGTTGTATGTATGTGTGATGATTGTGCATTCACCGATGATGATGATGAAGATTTCACTAATGTATGACTAGGATGATTATCATCCGATGAAAGACGATCGGTTGTTACCTATTGAATAGATAAATTATTAAACTTTCCTTTTGTTTTTTTTTTTTACTTCAATTTCAGGTAAAGGCATTTTTAATATTGCTGGTAGTGAAGGTGTCATCATTGTTAAACAACGACGAAGTAATTCTTGTTGATGATCATTAAATGAAACATTGAAATCATTTATTGAAGTTTGAATTTTTTCTGATGATGTATTGTGTGTAGAATTTTTCAAAGAATTTTTAACTCGTAAAAAATGTCTTGTATGTTCAACCTAAACAACAATAAAAAAAAACAAAAAGAGGTCTTCATTTTACATAATTCTTCAAAAATGTAATAAGAAAATAGTTCATATATATTCTAACAAGATGCTATTGATATACAATCTTTAATTGTATATCAACAATGTCTGTTGACTTTACAAAATAAAGAAAAAAAAAAAATTTTTGTTTGTTATTCAATTATTAAACATACACATTCAATTTTATATAATTTTTCTAAATCTTGTTGATGTTCAATAATTAATGAATCACTTCTTGGTCTCCAACCATGTAACATTTCTTCTCCACGTACATAAATTTTTGATGTATCAATAACTTTTCGTTGTCTTCGTTGTAAACCAGGACTTTCATTTGAAAAATTTTGTGTTATTATATTTAATGTTAATGTATGTATTAATTTTAATTCATATATAGAAGATATACAATTTGAATGTTCATCATTTGTTAATGAACGTGTAATAGAATTAGTTGATAGAAAAAAATTTTTTAATGATGAACGTATACGTGATGTTGAATCACCACTACGTGGATATAAAATAAGACAAAGATCTTTTGTTATAATAATTGGTTGAATAGAATTTTCTATTTCAAGATATGATGATATTGTTAAATAAACTGAATTACTATTTGATGTACAACGATTAAGTAATAATGAATTATGTAATGATGAATCCCATGCAACTTCAAAATGATAAAATGTTCGTTGATCATGTTGTTTTTGAATATAATGTGATAATACAATATTTAATGAAAGTGTTTGACCATCAGTTTCATCAAATATAGAATTTTGTTGACTACGAATTCGACCTAATTGATAAAAAAAGAAATTGTTTTTTTTTCTGTATATATTTAAAATATTATTTTTACATACCAATAACAACTTCACGAACATTTTTCCAAATAAGTTCTGCATTTGTTTCATGACATAATGTTATTCCAATACGACGTTGAATACCTTGATGAAGAATAAATCGACCAGAACATGGTATATCATCAGAATGATCAACTGTTACAGCAGCATATCTATAAATAATTTGATGAATGATTATCAATGAAAATAAAATCGAATAACTTACTCGCCATTTGGTGATAATTCAAAGATTTCATACCAAACAAGAAGATCATGAATAGTATGTACTGGATTTGTTGTACTAAGAAATAGAATTAAAATAAAACGAATATTATATATATTGAGAGTTACCGATTTACATAGAAAAAACTAAATAAAGAAAATAAAAATGATTATCAAGCTCCTATACATAGAATTTTCAAAAAATCAAATAAATGACTTTTTTTTTAGCAAGATGAACATACTAATATCAATTTATTCGAACTACAAGAGCCGATATGACAAATAATATCCTACAAAATGAAACGTCTCGGAATTCTATACGAAGTCTTTGAACTAAGAAATCAAAGCTAAACTTTTCATAGAGAATAGTAAAACGGCTTAAAGATCTTTCTTAAGATTGATGTATCGTAGCCAAAAGTAATCGTACAGAACTGGAAAATATAGTCATTTTGTAAAACATCGTGTATTTTATCGTTTTATGTAGTCTCAAAAAACAAATTTTATTTGCCTGTTCTGGATACTACTCTCCATTTCAAAATAGAAGGCGAGTGATTGCGAATCGAATAACTCGACAACGGCAATAGCTAGAGACCTGTGGTTTTCACCA